GTTCTTGTGTAAAACTCAGGCCTTCAAGTTTAGATCTACTTCTTTTTATGACCTTTGTGTGTCTTTGTGGTTTACTTTTGGGGCATGAAAAACTGGTTCGTCTAAGCTTCTGGTTCTCTCTCTTGATTTTATATTGGAATGGCCGGATTGATTTTGTCTTCAGGAGTTCCCACAGAGGCCCAATTCAGATGAGGGTCAGATGATTTCAGGCTTTCTCCTAAGGTCTCTATCCCTCCAGGACCAATTTTCGCCTCAGGAATTTGGAGGTTGGACTGGCCTGGGAGCCTGGCCCAGAAAAGATGCTGGTGTAGGGCAGCTGGTGGCCATGCCACCCAGAGATGCAAAGGCAGATGGGGCCGGAAGAGGCCCCAAGAACTCCTGGGGACTGCAGTGTGGAGCTGGGTTGGTCTAGATGCAAAGGATCAGGAAGAGGAAAGGTCAGCTCCCAAGTCCCAGAGAGAGGATGGCAGGTGGTGCAGGCCCAGGGAAGCAGGGGGAGTTGAGGATGGGGCCAAGTCCAGAAGCAGTGCTCCTGGGGCCCAGAGAAGGCACTAAGTTGGTCTGGATGAAAAGGGTCAGGAAGCAGTATAGGTTCCCCAGGTGTCTGGGGTGCTAAGACCAGGAATGGGCAGGGCCCAAACTCAGAGAAGAGAAGGGCGGGGGAGATGGGAGGGTAAATGGGGCTGGGGGAGTCAAGGCTAGGAGGGCACGATGGACTTACCCTGGAGAGAGGCCTGCAGGTGGGAGAGAGGCCTGTGGCTGGTGGTGCAACAGGATGTTCCTCTTTATTTAATCTCTTTTGGTAGGAAAGACCAAGGAAACTGACAGGTGCCATTTTATTCACCTATTTCTATCCATGCCCTTTCTTCCTCTGCCTGTCGAGTTTTTCACTCTTTTCAGAGTATAACTCAAGGCACTGTCTCGATGGTAGAGTTCTTGCTTGACACACAAAAACCCCAGGTTGACTCCTCAGCACTACACAAAGAATCAAAACAAAAGCACAGTGCAACCCCCAAAGTCATGTTTTCTATAAAACCTTCCTGCTACCTGAGCCCATGCCCCCATTGTCCCCCAAATCCTAGACAGAATAAGCTATATGAATTTTCCAGAAGGGACTATGCTGTGCTTTATGAACTCTCCTTGGCTTAGAAATAGTAGTATTATCTGGGTGTGGTGGCGTACACCTTTTGTTCCAGTGCTTAGGAAGCAGAGACAGGTAGATCTCTTTAAGTTCAAAGACAACCTGGTCTATATAGACCTGGTCTATATAGCGAGTTCCAGGCCAGCTGGGAGTACAGGGAGACCCTGTCTCAAAAAGACCAAAGAAAGAAAGAAAGAAAGAAAGGAAGGAAGGAAGGAAGGAAGGAAGGAAGGAAGGAAGGAAGGAAGGAAGGAAGGAAGGAAGGAAGGAAGGAAGGAAGGAAGGAAAGAGAATAGTTTTATTGTAACTTATCTGGTGTCTGCCGCCAGATCTTTTCAAGTAGTAAACCTCTCATCACCAAACTTAAAGCCTATGAATTTTGTTTTGGGGTGTGTATATCTATCTGCCTGTCTTGTCTGTGGTGTTTGTAGAGGCCAGAGGTCCATGTCAGCCATCTTCCTCTGTTGCTCTCCTCCTTGATCTTTTAAGACAGAATCTCTCACTAACTGAACCTGGAGTTCATCAGTTCAGCAAGATTAGCCAGTGAGCCCCAGAGATCCTGTTGTCTCCATCTCCCCAGTGCTGGGGTTATAGGCACATGTTTTCACGCCCATCTTTTTACATGGCTGCTGGGGATCTGAATTTAGGTCTTGATGCTTATGCAGCAAGCACTTTACCAACTGAGCTGTCTGCCTAGCAACTTGTTTGAGTTATTTTATGTGTATGAGTATATTTCCTGCATGTATGTTAAGTGCAGCCGTATCGTGCAATACCCATGGAGTCAGAAGAGGGCATCAGGTCCCCTGGAATTGGAGTTGTGGACGGTTGTTAGCTGCCACGTGGGTGCTGAGAGCTGAACCCAGGTCCTCTGTAAGAGCAGCCAGAGTAACCACTGAGTCATCTCTCCAGCCCTAGTTTGAGGTTTTGAAGAGATCATCTTAACTAGTGATCCAGTAAAAACTCCTATATGTGTAATTGCTTCTCAGCATCTGCATCTACATAAGCCTAGTGGGCTTGATTTTTGTTGGCTTGAGAGCTGGTCTTACTGCATTGTAGGCCCACATCAACCTAATGTCCCTTTTGCCTCGGTACTCAACACTGGGATTATAAGAATTGGGCTGTCATTCTTACATATGGGAATCGTGCCTAGCTTAGTCTTTATAATCTTTGAAGTAATCATACACTTTGATAAATAAGTGAAAGTATCTGGCTTCTTCCATTTCTCCCAAATACCTGGGAGGAAAGGTTTCTTTTGGCCCCACATTTCAGAGGTTTTAGTCTATATCAGCCTTGTTTCTTTTAGGCCTGTGGTAGAAATGACACAGGGGAGGAGGAGAATACTGTCACCCATGATAAACTCCCTGGAAGCAAAGAAGGAGAGGAGGGCACAGTGTCCCGGTACTCCTTCAAGGACTTGTCTTCAGTAACCTAGCTTTTTTTCTACTAGGGCCTGCCTCCTAAAGTTTCTACCACCTCCCACTGTGCTGTCAGCTGGAGATCAAGCCTTCAGCACATGAGCTTTTGGTGGACCTTAAGATCCAGACCATAACAGCATCTTTTCTGTTGCTCAGAGCAGTGGCTTTAAAATGGAGGTTAACTTCTGAATCTTTATTTTGTTTTTTCAAACCTCTGAATCTGTTTTATGTGTATGACTATATTGCCTGCATGTAAGTGCACCTGTATCATGCAGTGCTCATGGAGGTCAAAAGAGGGCATCGGATCCCCTGAAACCTGAGTTATGGATGGTTGTTAGCTGCCATGTGGGTGCTGAGCAGCCAGTGTTCTTCAACCGCTAAGCCATCTCTCCAGCCCCGACCTCAAAATCTTACCTGTTTGACATTTTGTATTGAATTCTGCTGAGGCGTAAGCTAGATTCCAACATGTAAGTTCAGATTCCCACCTACCACCTGTCACATACTGCTCATTTTATCTTTTATAGGAGCTGGCATTGCAGCCCAAAGATGGCATCATAGACCGAGCAAAAATGGAGGACACCCTGAAGAGGAGGTTCTTCTATGATCAAGCTTTCGCTATTTATGGAGGTAGGGGTTGGATGAAGGAACAGTGTGGTGTTTGTGGCTAATATTAGTCAACAGCATGGCTTGCTAATCGGTACCTAGTTGGGTCAGGTCGCATAAAGGAAAGGACAGATATTTTGCTTTTTCTTTGTTTAGAGTTGTCACTTGGCATGACGTCCATTCTTGATGCTCCTCCACCCCATTAATTCTTGAGGAATTTTTCCCCCTCCTTAGCTTGTAGGGAATTGCTAGAGGCACAGGTATTAGGCACTTGCTGTGTCCATGTATTTATGCAGTGATACACTCTTAAGAACCACTGGAAGCCAGGTCTGGTGGCACATGCCTTTAATCCCAGCACTTGGGAGGCAGAGGCAGGCCTGGTCTACATAGTGAGTTCTAGGCCAGCTAGGGCTACAGGGCGACCCTGTCAAAAAAAAGCCAAAAGAAGAAGAACTGGAGCCCTAGGCGTGTAGGGACTATGGCAGCACTAATTACCCGACTGGCCCGGCTCACTACTCACGGGCACTCATCATATACAGCCCTGAAGTACTCTTTGTGGACCTCTGTCAGGAGGAAACATTCTTCATGGGTGGGTAGAGAAAGTGCATCCTGCTGCATGAGGATGCACAGGTGAGTTCAGTTCACTGACTGAATATAGAACTCAACAGAGATCCTTACAGTAATGGACTTTAGTACTTTCCTGCTGAAACTTAGCCATCTCTAAATATTTCACCTCTCAAGTGAAATATACCTGAAAGGAAATCAGAGAATTGGGCACTGAAGTCTAGAGCGTGCTACTTAGCTGACACCGTGACGGGTTATTTTGCACACAAACACTAATCTTTTTCATTCTGATTCTTGTATCTGAGACAGCTTTAATTGTTGTGATTTGGGGTTAATCCTACACAAAATTATAAATATGGAAATAGTCAATGGAGTAAGAACTTTAGGTTTTTCCTTCTGTCAGCTAGCTAGAAATAAGGCTCATTCATGCTGAGGGATTTGAACTATGGGCCATATACTGTGGGCAGCCTACAGGCCTAGGCTTCCCAGGTCTTCTCATCTTTGCCTTCAGAGTAATAACTAAAGCCCACATTTGCCTCTCGTTTTTCACAGGTGTCAGTGGTTTGTACGACTTTGGGCCAGTGGGATGTGCTTTGAAGAACAATATCATCCAGACTTGGAGGCAGCACTTTATCCAAGAGGAACAGATTTTGGAGATTGACTGCACTATGCTCACTCCTGAGCCAGTTTTAAAGTGAGGTTCTGCTCTGAGGGGAGAGGCCCTTTAAAAGTTAATATTTAACTTTCTGATTGCAGACAGTACCCATGCTTATTTAGGAAATTGGTGAAAACCAGAAAAAAGAAACATAAACTTGCTGCTCACAGATAGCATGGTAAACTTGCCATTTTGCTCCCATTCTTTCTTCTCTATGTTCCTGAGTGTTTGACTTTGCCCTACACACTGCTTTTCTTCATGTGTTCATGTGAGCATTACTCATGGAGTTAAATCTAACACATTTTTGGAAGAAGTGAGATGGCTCAGCAGGTAAAGGTGCTTGCTACCAAGCCTGACAATCTTGGTTGGATTGCTCAGGACCCACATGGTGGAGTTGGTATGAACCAATTGCCACAACTTTTCCTCTGGTCTTGGTACATACCCCCACATATATACCAAATAAATAAATAAATAAAATTTAAACAGTATTTTTGATGACAGCATACTATTCAGTTTTATGAATGTGCCATGATTCAGTGCCATATCAGAGGCATTTAAAGTGTTTCTGAATTTTTATTCCTGGTACATTTTGTGTATGCCCTTGATTATTTCTCTAGTATAAGTTGTTAGAACTGTCAGTTCTGAGCAAAGGTGTTAGATGTATTTTCACTCACACTTTATTGAAAGATGTCTCAGTGCAAAGTTGTATTTGAACATCATTGAAAGTCGAGTAGGATTTCAGCAATGGCAAGAGGAGCTGTTGCACTTTGTCTCCTCATTTAGTGCAGCCTGACACAGCTGTGACCTACTGTTAGTATCTGTGGGGTTTTGCTGGTAATTATAGCTAGTTAAGATGAGAGACATCCCGCTGATGGGTCTGTAAGATTTGAACAAATTCTTTCAGTGACTTGTTTCACTAATGCGCTGTAAATATCAGTTCAGGTCAGTTTTATTAGGAGTTCTTGGCTCATCAAATTCCTCATGATTTTGGCCTTTCTTTAGATCACTAATAATAATGGGACAAGTATGAACTGATCCTGAAATGTTGTACAGACTTAAGACAGTTTGTGAAATTAATAACCTGGCCAATGTCTTTTCCTACGGGAGGGAGGAACTTAGGAGGATGAGAATAGATGTGCAGTTTCCTCAGGTGTACACCACTTTGTCATGGACACATCAGTGCTGTGTATGTGGGGCTTCCATCTTTGACATGCACAGATATAAACTCTGGGTGACTGTATTGTAGGGGGATCGTCTCCCTAATATAGAATCTGTGTTCTAATTTACATGAAAACAAACTGACTTTTCATTTGTTAACTTAGGACCTCTGGCCATGTAGACAAGTTTGCTGACTTCATGGTGAAAGATGTGAAAAATGGAGAGTGTTTCCGTGCTGACCACCTGCTGAAGGGTAATAGTTCTCCATCCCTTTGACTCAGGGCTCAGGTTAACATGTGGTTTAGGTAGATTTTCCATCTGCTGAAGGGTACAGTTCTCCATCCCTTTCACTCAGGGCTCAGGTTAACATAAGGTTTAGGTGAATTTTTTTTCTGTTTTCTTCCATTTTAAAAATTTTGTTATACTCTGATTTTACATATCCAGATCAAGTCCCCTTTGCTAAAGAGTTACTTACAAATTAGTTATATTCTCATAATAATTTTTTAATCAATAAGTGAATTAAGACATCATGGGCTAGAGATGGAGCTCAGTGGTAGAGTGCTTGCCTAGCATGTGCAAGGCCATGGACACCAACAAAAAACCAAGATAATACTGTGACTGCTCCTGTGAAATCATCCATGGATTAGTATAAATTGAAAACATGAACCTTTTAGTCCCAGCACTCGGGAGGCAAAGTCAAGGGGATTGCTGCTATGAGATTGAAGTTAGCCTGGGATGGGAGTTCCAGCCTAGCTGGGGCTATATCGTGAGACCCAGTCTTGGAAAAACAAACCAAAAGCCCTTAGATTTGTTTTTTCAGTGTCAGCATTGAAACTCAGACATGCACTCTTCCTTTCCCTTACTGAAACTGATCCTGTCAACACTGCTCTTCTAGCACATTTACAGAAACTGATGTCTGATAAGAAGTGCTCCGCTGAGAAGAAGTCTGAGATGGAAAGTGTCGTGGCCCAGGTGAGCACATTGGAGACCATCAGAATGACTGGGAAGGGGCAGCCGTCTTTGTGCTGACCCTTGCCATGGTTATTCTAGTTTGCTGTCTGTTGCTGTGAAAGGGTTCATTTCAGCTTACAACATTCACGCCACAATCTATCACTGAGGGAAGTCAGGGAAGGAACTGAAGGGCAAACCATGGAGAGCTCTGCTTACTCCCCTGTGACTTGCTCAGCTACCTTTCTTATACAGCCAGGACCACCTTCCCAGAGGTGGCACCATCCATAGTACAGTAGGATGTCCCACATCACTCAGCAATCAGGAAAGTGCCTTATAGTCATCCTGCAGACCAGTCCAATAGGGGAAATTCCCCAATTAAAGTTCCCTCTTCCAGGTGTGCCAGGTTGACAAGATTAGCCATCACTGTTGTAAAGAAACTGTTTACCTCTGTCCTGCTTAGCATCTCCTTTCATGTACACAAAACCTTCTCTGTTGGTACTTAGTCCTGTTTATGGTGCCCTGGACTACTTTAAGATATGACCAGGTTAGAGAGTAGATAAAACTGCTTATCTTCTTCCTAGGAAGATGCAGGATCCATGTGTGCATTTCTGATTTCTCTCTGAGTCTGTCAGTAGCTCTATAAGCCAAGTATATTTAGAGGGTATTCCTTCAACATTGCTTGCTCAATCAGAGTCTCACAAAACACACCTTAAATTTTCTTCTTTAGTAGAAGGCAAATAATTGTGTTTATAGTTGCTTCCCTTTTTTTTTGAGACAGGTCTTATTCTAGCCCAAGCCTCCAACTTCAGGTGATCTCCTGCCTCAGCTTCTCAGTTGTTATATTACAGGCATTGGGCCACTACATCCAGCTCTAAAACTGTTCTTTCCATTGATGTATCTGAATTTAAACAGAGAACTGTGTGACATTTGCTTTCATAATAAAGGCCTTATTTATTTTGTGAGGGAGGGAGTAGATGCATGCTATGGCTTGTATATGGAAGTCAAAGGACAATTTGTGGGAGTCAGTTCTCTTCCCACTGTGTGAGAAGGAATTCAGGTTTGGTGGCACGTGCCTTCACCCATTGAACCATCTCATTGACCCTCTTTCAGTTGTTTTGAGACAAGGTCTCTCTGTGTAGCCTGGCCTGGCCTTTGACTTGTGATCCCACTCAACTTCCTAAGTACTGCTATTGTAGGTGTGTGCCATCATGCCCAGCTTACATTTTACTTTTCTCTCATGGAAATCATGGCTACTTTTCTGCCTTTGCTCTATTTTTTTTAAAGCATGTAAAATTTTCTCTTGATATCCAGCTTTTCATTTCTCATTTCATTTTCTTCTTCATTTAAATTGAAAACTTTAATCTCGCTGTTGACTCATCAGCCAGTTCATTTTAGTCCTTGTGAAGTGTATTTTGTCCTTGTGTAAGGCTTGTTACTTTAATGTTGTTAGAGTTTAGAAAGTCAGTAGCTTTTGTGTTACAATGCTGTTAGAGCTACCTGTTCTTCCCAGTGCTGGGCACTGAACCCCTGGCTGTGTCCCCAGCCCCTACACCTTCTTTTTATTTCCATTTCTAAAGACTTAACCTTTAATTTAAAATATACTTTGTATTTTTATTTTATGTGTATGACTGTTTTGCTTGCATGTGTATAAGTGCACCAGTGTTGTGTGATGCCCACAGAGACCAGAAGAGGGCATCATATCCCCTGGAACTAGAGTTACAGATGGTTGGTAGCTGCTCTGTGGATGCTGGGAACCAAACCTCGGTCCTCTGCAAAAGCAGCCATTGATCAATGTTATGACTGAAGGCTTAACCTTCAAAAAAAGAAATGATTCATGGCTCTAATTGCCCCTAAATTTTTATTTTCCATTTAGAATGTCAGAATTCAGCTGGGTCTGGTGGCACATGCCTTTAATCCCAGAACTTGGGAGGCAGAGACAGGTGGATCTCTGTGAGTTCAAGGCCAGCCTCATCTATGTAGTGAGTTCCAGGACAGCTGGGGCTACAGGGAGACCCTATCTCAAAAAGACAAAAAATTAAAGAATGTCAAAATCCCTAAGGGTTTTGCATGTGTATGTGTTCCAACACCTTTTAACTATTACATTTATTTCCAAGTAAATCTTCCTAGTTCAGAAGTACCTGGTTGATTTGGTAAGCCGTGGTTAAGGCTTGAGCACTAGCTTCTTCACATTCTAGGGGAGTGACATTTGTTGTTACACATAAAACATGCAATGGAAAGTTAGGAAGGGTGAGAATTAGTCATGCCAGGTGATGGCCACAGTGCTCGTGGGTTCACAGCTGCCTGCTGCCCAGCCCGTGATAGCATTGCTGTACCTGCTTGTGCCCTGACTTTCCATTCATTGAAGCTTAATAATTTCTAAAAGACCCTGATTCATCCTATAGTAGGAAGTTCTTTCCTTTTATGTGTATTTAAGAGCCAAAACTCAGTTGTGTCGCCTCCCCATTGTTGAACTGTCTCTGCATGTATCAGTTTCTTAAATGATTTTTTTATCACAAAAAATTCAGAACATAAAAGTAGAAAATACACCTAAAAGGTTAAAAAATCTTTTTTCTTCTCTTAAGAAATACTGTAATTATTTTTAGGCTGGGCATGTTGGCACAGCAGGTGGAACTCTGTGAATTCCAGGTCAGCTGGGGCTACAGGGAGACCCTGTCTCAAAAGACCAAAAAAAAAAAAAAAAAAACCTAATTATTTGGGGGGGGTTTTTTTTGTTTTTGTTTTTGTTTTTGTTTGAGACAGGGTCTCCCTGTAGCCACGTTGGCCTGGAACTTGCTAAGTAGACTAGGCTGGCCTCCATTTCCCAGAGATCCAGCAGTCTCTGCCTCCCAAGTCCTGGGATTAAAGGTGTGACCACCATGCCCAGTAGGAAATACTATAATTTGGTGTCACATATTTCATCACTGTTCACATTGACCTGTGTGAGCTTCAGGATTTGACTTAGTAGTTTTCTGTAGCTCTGTGTGGTCATCTATTCTGTTGTGGGTGACCATCATCTGGGCCCATTAGTTGATAAGTGATTTCAGGTTATTTTGTCATTCTGTTGCTTTTGAGTAGCAGAAAATAAGGACACTTTATGATTTGAGTTCTGAGACACCCGTTAGAATGAAAATTGAGAATTTGTGTTTCATCCACCCCTCCGCCTTATTTTAACCTGTTGATTATTCACCATCCATCAAAAATACAGAAACTGTTGTCTTCATAGGTCTATGGTGGAAATAATGAACACCTGCCTGTCTTACCGTCCCTGCTTCCCTTCTCTGTTCCGAATTTTGAGATGAAGCATTTGATCTTTTTCAGTTAATGCCATTGTCATCCTTACTGATGGTTAAATTGTCCAGTCTGGGCTCTCAGGCGTTGTCTGCTTTTGATGTAGCCTTAGCATTCTTTGATTACTTTCTTCTTTTTGGTATAACAAGATACTTATAGGCTCCTTGTTCATTTCCTGTCCAGAGATGGAACCAGCCATTTTTCCAAAGTGCCTTTTTCCCTATTAGTGGACATGATATTTTGGTCATTGGTTCTGTTTAGTGGACATGGTATTGTTGGTCATTGGTTTTATTATATCTTTTAGTACAGTGAGGTATGGCATTCTTCAAATGGTAAAATCATTGTGAGCTAATATTAGTAATGCTTAAAGTTTAACTTTCCAGTTGGCATTAATGCTTAAGGTTTATTTTATTAATATTAAATCTGTTTCCTCTGCCCACACCAAAGTTCCAGTTCTCCACAACAGCACTGTGCTTATTAACGGGCCTTATCACCCCATCATAGAATGGCAGTACCACCATTCATAATTCGAATATCGATGATAGTTTTTAAAGTCTTTGGGGGCAACCAAGATGGCTCACCTGCCACCAAGCCTGTGGATTTATGTTCAGTCTCCAGAACCTACATGGTGGAAGGAAAGAGCTGATCCACAAGTTGTCCTCTGACCTCCACACATGCTCCGTATCGTAATCCCCCACCCCTAAATAAGTACATCTTAAAAAATTAGTTTTGCCAGGTATGGTGGCGCGTACCTTCAGTCCCAACACTTGAGAAGCAAAGACAGGTAAAAGCAGACAGATCTCTGTGAGATCAAGGCCAACCTGTTATACATAGCAAGTTTCAGGCCAACTGGGGCTAGAGAGAGATACACCATGTCTCAAAAAAACAGAAACAAGCAATTTACTTTTGCCAGACCTGGTGACACATGTCTGAAATCCTAGCACTTGGGAGGTGGAGGCAGGAGGCACGAGTTTAAGCCAACCAGGACTACTTAGTAAGACTCATCTCAAACCAAGAGCTAGCATTGTAGCCTGGTGGAAGAGCACTTGCCTGGCTTCTGCAAGGCCCTAGGTTTGTTGAAAGTTGTAGTAGTTTTTGTTTTCTTTTTTCTTAAGTTCCTATGTTTTGTGTCACTTTCATGTCCCTTTCAGGGTTCATTTCAAACAGAATAGAAAGACATACAGGTATTTACCTATCCTTCATGTTAGGCAGCTTTCCATTGCTGTGACAAAATGCCTGAGAAAAACAACTTAAGAAAAAGAAAGGTTTACATTAGCTCACAGTTGTGGGCTTTTAGTCCATGGTCAGTTGCCCTCACTGCTTTAGGGCCGTGGTGGAGCCAGGCATCTTAGTACAGAGTACATGGCTGAGCAAATGGCAGATGGGAAGCAGAGACAGGAAGGAGCCCCCAAATTCACTTACTCCAGCTCAGCACCTGCTCCTGCAGGTCCCACCACCTCCCAGTAGCACCCATCTGGGGCCAGGTCTTCAACTCAGGAGCCGGTGGGGCCATGAAGACACAAATGGTACATTCTTCTATATTCCATAAGTGCTTCTCTCTTCAGCCTACTCTTACCCTGGAGAGCACTCCACTGTGGAATGTTGAGATTTATCACTCACTTTAGAGTTGCATGATTCTACTGTGTGTGTGTGTGTGTGTGTGTGTGTGTGTGTGTGTGTGTGTG